TATTCTAAGTATGGGGAACCCCCATAATTTATTGTTTTTTTTTTTAATTTTTGTATGAAAATCTTAATGCGGTTCACAGAATATATCTACTTACCAAGTTTCAACAGTATAGTTCTTATAGTTTCGGAAAAAAGTGGCTGTGACGTACGGATGGACAAACAGACAGACAGACATAACGAATCCATAAGGATTCCGTTTTTTGCCATTTCGCTACGGAACCCTAAAGGAATATCCCAATCTTAGATATCAGAAAAAAGAAACCTTTTGTTCTTTAATCTGAGATTCCAATGAATTCCTTGGATGTCAGTCATCATTTATTAAGTAAAACCAAAAAGAAAGACTAGACGAGGAGCTCGATGGCGCAAGTGGTTAGCGCATTCGGTTGCGCTCGTTGAAGTTAAGCAACTTTCGCAGTGGTCGATCATTGGATGGGTGACCAAAAATTTATTATCTCGAGCTCCTCCGTGCTTCGGACGGCACGTTAAGCCGTTGGTCCTGGCTGCATCTGCAGTCGTTAGCACCCGCCTATACGCACTGGGCCCGCGTGGTGAGTCATGACCCAATCTCCCTATTCCATCCATAGGAAAGGCCTGTACCCAGCAGTGAGGACATTAATAGGCTGATGATGATGATGATGAAAAAAAATGGTTGCCTGTAAAGTCGGTTTTACGGGCGAAGATTTTACGTGACAACGTCTTTTTCTCGGTAGAATATTTATTGATATGAATATAATTAAATTGCACAATAGGAACAAGGAATTGAATGAAAATAAGAATTGCACAAATTTTAACTATAGAAATATATTTTGTTTACTAAAACATTGTACATGTAAACTTAAACTCATCGTAACGTTACCGAGCGTTACACTTTTTCATAAGTGACTCCCAGCCGCAACCTAATTTAAGACGTTGTCACGTCAAAAAAATAAAATAAAAACAGTTTTTAATTTAGTGCTTTTTAGCTGCCATGTGGCAGGTACCATCTATCAATTGTTTATTTTTCAATATTTTAACTAATACAATGCACAAATGTTAAACCGAAATAAAACTAAAGGTCTACTTAGCTAAAAGTGGAGTAATTTTCGATAACATGACCAACTTGATGTCTGTACATTTATGCAGTAATCGTAAATAATATAAACAACATGCAACTTAAAGTTATAATAACTTAATTGAGTAGTGTACAGCTGTATAAATAGCAATGGTACTTTTTACACTTGGTATCTGGCAGAGCATAAAGGCCACAGCTCATTACAGTCACCTGGCACCGCCTCGTCGCGTCGTGCGACGTCTACTCGTGGTCGACGAGCAAACTCAGGTGACGCCGAGTTTCCAACCAGCAAACGTCGGATGGGTCAAGGGTGAAAGAACGCCGTGCCGCCGCGTAGTTGACTCCGCGTTGTCAGCGAAAATTAAGTAGTATGCTTAGATTAAAACAAAAAGGGAAGAAATGGCACTCGCGGCGCAAAAGTGATCCGCTTAAATTGTGGTGCATGACCATAATTCGCTTTAGTCACAATTAGACATTCAAACAGGCTGCATGTGCACTCAATATAACAATATTGCGTATATTCTGTTTTGTACAGATAAAACAATACCTTCGATGCTTTTATAAATAACACATGCCTCGGCAATACTTTTCATTCAAAAACTGTAAAAACATTTTTTCTCAAAAATCACGGTTTGTCGTGAATGTTGTTTACGTAATCGCCATTTTGTTATCATGAAAAGGACAAAAATACAGCTCAGCCGTAAGAACTCGGTAGTGGATTCGCCGTTTCGCTCGCGCTGCGTTGAAGAGTCAAATCTGTACTGATTTTTAGTTGTCGTTACGTATTTTGTGCCGCTGCTGTTCAAGTTTCCATACAAAATTTGACATTGACATTTCGGTTTGCAAACTATTCGAATTCGATAATGGTTCGTGCTAGGGGTACTGTTCTGTCTCGCTCTCTCGATTAAATATTTATATACAGCCGTGTGCGTGTGGGAGTTGCTTATGTAGTTGAGTCGAATCATATTTTATTTGATGCTAGTATGAGCGTACCGTATCTTCCCTTTTTGTTTTAATCTAAGGTAGTATATAAAAATCATCTCTAGGTTTCCACGTGTGTTTTCATGATGTTGAATTTTACAAACTATGAATTGGCTCTAATACCTGTCGCGCTTGATGAAGAAGTAAATGAAGTGCCTTGTCATTTCGTAGGCCGCGCGTGGTCCACTCAGTAGCAGCGCGTTTACAACCAGCACACGGCAACCAGCAAGCGTGTGAGCAGTGGGTGGTCACCGAGTTGTCCACTCGCCACCCGCGCGCGGACAGCTTGCGAGCGAGGCGATTAGGTAACGCTACGGAGTTGATGTAGTGAGTGCATACTCATAGCAATCCATACAAATAATATCAACGGTAAGAGTTGAGACGGTGCTGGTCGGGTGCCGGGCTTTAATAAGCTATGACCTTTATCGTCACATAATGATGTTTGTTTAATTGATACCTAACTGTCCATCATTGTGGTATTGTGGAAGCGTCCATTTTTGTAGTCACGCTCGCACGTATCAAAATAATTACATGATTTTGTTTTATTATTTTCAAACTACAAAAGGAAGATTTTCACGCACATCACTCATTAAATAAAACTCATTATTCTGACTATGCAGACCTGAAAAGGCTGCGAAACGTCAATAAATCAATAAAGTTCGGGCATTAATCCGTTAAAACTAGTTTTATCTACAAAAGGAAGATTTTATTATCTTGTTTAACTTATTACCGAACTAGCGGTCGCCCACGACTTCTTTTGTTTTTGAAAATCCCACAGGAACCTAACACTTTTTTGGGATTAAAAGTATCCTACGTCTCTTTCCAGGGTCAGTTGTATGTGTATAAATATTCATTCTAATCCATTCAGCCGTTTTTGCGAGACTGATTAACAAACATACAAACTTTTACAATTATAATATTAGCAGGGTGACATTTTGTGTCGCACTATCGCTTATTCACTGTTGACTGTATATCATTCGTTCAACCCATAGACAAGAAGATAAAAAGCTTTGTTGCAGATTGTCGCACCTTTGGAAGAACATTGAACCGTTTGCGGTGCAGTGTTCTTTCGCTATATGAATAACTAGCGGATCTTTAATTTTTTGAGAATCCCACAGGAACCTAACTTATTTCCTGATAAAACTATCCTATGTCTCAATCCAAGTCTTAACGAAAAATCTAGTTTTTTTTATTACTGAACAACTGACTTAGTATTTGTTATACCATCTTTGTATCTCATTTCGGTATCAAGAGCTCTACCTACAGCAGCATACTTCGGGATGAGAGAAACCTGTCTAACTTTTGAATTAAGTTTGAAGATTAGGTTACTTACATGAGTAACTGTACGTTAAGCCGTTGGTCTCGGCTGCATGTGCAGTCATTATTAGTACCCGCCGATCCACATTGTGTGGATCATGAGGAGGAAGAAGAAAGGAGGGGCCTTCTTCTTAGCAAGTCCTTAAAGAAAGCCTGTCTCAATTGTGGGTATAATTACATCACAAACCACATGATTTCAACCTTTTGTCGTTCGCTTTTAGTTAGGTAGTTTTTCCTACATTTTATGCCTAACACATATCTTATCGAAGATTTAAACCTCCGCGATCATAAAATCTTTGTGTAATCTAAACAAACTACATATTCCTATCTTACAAAAAAAACTAATATTTGTTTTACGATTGTATTCATCTTCATATTAACGAACATTGAACTGCTCCGTGTCTATTATTCTCTTGCAGATTGTTTTTTATATATGCATAACTAGCGGCCCGCCCTCGCTTCGCTTCGGTGTAGAGCTGAAGTGTAGACTACAATTTTTGTTCTCAGGCTTGTATTATACACAATGACATTCATCTATGATTCTTCTTATACCTGCATGCAAAGTCTCAGCCCGATCGGTTTAAAATTGACAAGTTTCATACAAACTTTCATTCCCTATTTTACCCCCATGGGGGTAGAATTGATCAATATCCTTTCTTAGCGGATGCCTACGTCATAGCATCTACCTGCATGCCAAATTTCAGCCCGATCCGTCCAGTGGTTTGGGCTGTGCGTTGATAGATCACTATGTCAGTCAGTCACCTTTGAGTTTTATATATATTTAAATATAGATTTAAATAATATATGCGATGGCTAATTTTATTAGTGCATATCCCATTCGCGTGAACGGGTGCAGCGAAAAGCGATGAATTTACTATGTAAAAACTACATTATAAAGTTTATAATGCATTGGTCTACATACATAAGTACTTAGTTATACAAAGTATCTTATGAGAATAAAAAAACCATAGGATGCACAGAATAACTTAACAATGCATCTGTTACAATTTTTATTCAATGTACTGACTTTCCATGTTGAATTGCTGTGTTCTATATTTTTTATGGTTTAAACTTGGTTTTCAAAACGTGATCAAAAATTCACTTTAAATTTTAGATCTTTTTACCTAGGATTTCGCTTTTCTGACATACAGTTAGTAGCGCTCAGAGGTGTTGCATACAGTTCATCGACATCATAAGTTGACAGGTTATCACTGTTCTGGACTGGATACAAACTACTTCGACGACCTCCGTGGTCGAGTGGTGTACGCCGGGTTTCATGGTGTCGCCGACTCGAGAGGTCCCGGGTTCGAATCCCGGTGGGGGCAGATGTTTGTGTGATGACTGATGAATACGAGCATTTGTACTTCAGTCATGGATATTTCATATTTATTTCTAAATAAAAATATACTTATATATGTACAGTATATGTATTGTATCCGTTACCCTAGTATCCCATAACACAAGCCTTACAGTTCTTACTTTGGGGCTAGGCTAATTGGTGTGAGTGTTGGAAATATTTATTTATTTATTTATTATTTACTTTCACTAACTAAATATCTTTCGCAAAAGTTAACCCGTCCAATATCACATTGGTTGTTTACCATTTAAATAAGTATAATGTTAATCGTGATGATAAAAAACAGACTTAGGTGCAATGATAACTGCTCCTCGGACTTGTTTTCATACAAGATAAGCCGACCGGTTTCCAACCAAACATATGATAGCTCCATAGTATAGTTTGAAAATAACATCAGTGTCTCGCCAAATGCCAGCGTGTACGCACGTTCTATTTTTGAATTTTCAAACATGGCGGCTTTGAGGTTATATTGCTTTTTTTTTATCGCGGCCTTTGTTACCGGCCAGGGTTCTGACCCAATAGTGAGAGTGAGCCAGGGCCTCCTCCGTGGATCGTGGAAAGTATCAGCTAAGGGGCGAAATTACGCTAGTTTCCAAGGAATACCGTATGCAAGACCTCCGGTCGGCAAATATAGATTCAGAGTGAGTTTAAATAAGTTATCTATTGATCGATTTTATATCTGATCGGTTATTTATACCATGCGTTTAATGTCTTCACTGTTTTATTGTTTTTACTTTGCATTGTTATGTATCTATGTATGTATAGATAAAGGAACTGGTCATTAACCTTACAATCATGAACTATATATATTAGGGCTTTACCTATGAAATTGCCGTATTTTCAAGAAAGAAGTTAACACCCTTTTTGCTATTTTTTTATTAATCAAAGTGCAATAAACCTTTGCAATCAATGCATTTTTGGCAACGCAGTGGTAGCTTCTTGATGACATTTTTGGATAAGTCTGGACGGGAGGCAACAAATTCTTCAAAGGCATTTTGAACTGCCTCTCGGTTATTAAATTTTTTCACCGCTAAGAAGTTATCCAAATTCTGGACAAAGTAGAAGTCTGTAGGGGTAAGGTCTGGTGAGTACGGTGGATGACGGAGAACTTCCAATCCCAGCTTTTGTAATTTGATGACTGTCTGCTGTACAGTATGAGGTCGCGCGTTATCGTGCCGGAGCAGCGGAGCCGAACGAATGACCAAAGCTGGTTGGAGATGTGCGAGCTTCTCCATCATTATGTTCAGCTCCTCACAGTATACATCTGCAGTAATGCTCATCCCGTTTGTTAAGAAGCTGTGATGAATGACACCGGCGCTAGACCACCAAACAGTGATCATCACTTTTTAGGGGTCAGTTTTTGTTTGGAGCAAGTTTTTAGGTGCTAATCAAGGATCTAACCAACTTGCTGAGCAATTGCGATTGTCGAACAGAATCCGACTTTCATCACAAGTAACAATGCGATTCAATATGCCTTCGTTTGTGTACCTGTGCAAGGCTCGACTCGATGCATAGTTAGCGCTGGCATTCGTGGGGGACCCATTTGTCCAGATTTTTACCTTACCAATTTGACGCAACTGGACCAATTTATATTTGATGACGGGGTGAAAAATTAATTATATCCACGACAATCACCAACGCGTTCTGGCATCGGCAGTCCGGTCCGCACCCGCTTCAGCCGATCCTGGGCTTCTCCGTTCAAAGCGTCACCTGACTAGTCTCACGGACCGCAGTCCGAGCGGCTAGCCAGCCGACCTGCTCCCGTACCTACCAGGTAAACCAACTCTCCGATCTACCCCTCACCCTTCAAGAGTAACTGCGGGATCCAGTTATCGCCGCTTGTTACTCCTGGGTTCCTACCCCCTTGCGAATTGCTCTACTTGCCTATTGTTCAATCGTACACAATTGGACAGAACCCCTTCTCTTTGCGTCTGAATCGCACTTAATCAGTGTTTATAATAATAATAATATTAATTTGTATAAAATTTTACAAGGTAGGTTATATTCTTATAAATATGTTAAAACTAAGGCCATTATTTCACACAAAGTATATATAGACAAACTCAGCCAAACTAGGAAGTTCATCCTGCATTTTGGCTTCAGCTCCCTTCCCCAATTTTAGATACAATACATATATCAAGTCCTTTTTATAAATGTAATGGTTCCCGCGATAAAACACATAACTGCCATCATTAATAAAGATTAGATTAGGAAACGAGTTCCTAATTGTTTTCAACATTCTGAAAAACAGTTTCAGGATTACATCGAACAAAACAAAATAATAAATTACACAATATCTACCATTCGAATCGTGAGTTGTGGTGATCTTACGTAAATAAAATTCCCATCGGAAATAAACACTAATATTGTATCGCGTATTTTCAAAACATTCTGGCAACTTTTCCAGTTTTTGTTTCGTCAGTCCTATCGTCATGAAATCATGTGCTCGCCGGTCGCCGCCCATTCAGTTTTAGATAATATTTATACTCACTAGGGTGTTCCATTTTTCCAAAACTTTGATTTTCATGTCAAGTCGATTTTCTCTGGAGTCTCACTAGTATAAAACACAATATTTGAAGGTTGCACATGTTGGCCACTTTTTACGACGTAGGGAATGTATGCAATGAAAATGATCTATTTCACCAAAGTAACGAAATGGCTTAACGAGAATTTAAAAAATCCTTTCTTGCAAATCATGCCAGTCTCATATAAGTTCGCTGTGGCATGAGACAATGTTAGCCGATGGGCTCCAAAGAATTATCTGGAAATGCTATATAGCTTTTGAGCACTTTCTCCAAACCTAACGTCAAACAAAATTCTCTTGCAGTTGCCAAACAATAAAACACAATTAATATTGCTTGATATTTTTTTTTTCATTTATGAGCTTTGGCTATGACTGGTTGATAACCTAAATCGTCAAACAAATGTCACTTTAAGTTGCGTTCATAAACTCGATTTTAAACTTTCGTTTACATAAAGGATGCATGTTCGTATGTGACCTAGTAATAGTGCACGATTATTCATAACTACTCCGGCGGTAATGCAGAGATGAGCGGAATTGAAGAGCTAGATTCTGATTATTGTGTTTTCTCACACAGTCTTAATAAATAAATATTATTAAAAATCGGTTGTTTTTTCTGCTCAATTTTAGTAAATAAATTTTATTCATTTTAAATATTTTTTTGGCTATCAAAATGAAACACCCTAAATACTCACCGTAAAATGTTTGTTTCCATTTGTTAACTGTAGAGAAAAAACTGGCCAAGTGCAAGTCTGACTCGAGAGAAGCATTCCGTACCATTATTAAAGTGAATACCCAACAGTTTAGTGAATATTTCAAGCGTCTACCTGTTGCCGCATAGAGCAGAAAACGGAAAAAACACGTTTTTGGTATGGGAGCCCCGCTTAAATGATTTTTTATTCTGTTTTTAGTTATAGCGACAATAGATGTACATCATCTGTGAAATTTTCAACTGTCTAGCTATCACGGTTCTCGAGTAGGGTTGCCAACCCTACTATATAATATAGTGTACTACTATATTAGAGGAGCAAATACTATATTTCTAAAAATATATATAGTAGGCGAAACTACTATATTTTGCTTTAAGCATATTTTTGACAATAAAAGCCGTCTTAAAAATCATTACAAATTATTATTTTATTATAAATAAGGCAAACAGCAGCAAAAATTTATTTATTTTTTATAAAACAAAGTAAATATTTAATCACATACTTTTTTTTAGTCAGCTACTATATTTTTAGAAGTAACGCTTCGAAAGTACTATATTTGATAGAAAAAAAGTTAGTAACCCTATTCATGAGTTACAGCCTGGTGACGAACAGATAGACGGACAGAGTCTTAGTAAAAGAGAGCCGTTTGTTCCAGATAGTAATCTGGGTACGGAACCCTGCTGCTATTATATTAATGAGCATGATATTTTTAGTACTACATTCTGTGCTTCATTCACAACTTTTTTACAACGCTTTTGTAGCTACACCTAGTGTAACAGAAATCGGAATCTTTGAATATTCACCTACTTCAAATTTGAACTAAAAGTATGCACATTTTTCAAGTCTAGCACTGATGACAAAACAACAAGGAATTTATTAACAGTGTGCACGGCAGAAACGTGACCTGCATATTTTAAAAAAATGGTTTGCGGTTTTTAAAATAAATATAAGGTTGAATAGAATAATCCTTTTTCTAAAATGCTTGTAAGGAAACATAAGTTTGCCCTCCATTTTCTTCCATGAAAGCACTTTCTGAATAAGTTACGAAAAAAGGCTGTATTGGGTAAGCGAAAACAAATATCATAATTGATTGATGCCATTGATTGATGATTGGGACAGGATATTTATTTCCCCATGAAGCTTATTTTTTACAGCAGGTTACTCGGTTCGAGCTTGTAGTTACTACTACGGCGACAAGCAGTAAATGGCAAATCAGATATTTTGACTTTAAATATATATAAGTAAAGAGTATGAATTATTTTCTACTTTTAAGTGGTTTTGTTATTATAAAGTCGGCTTAAATTTATTGTTAAAATTGTTATTTTCTTTTCTATAATAGCTCTTTTTACTTTTTTCTATAAAGGCGTTTTTTTTTTTAAACAATTATATATTATTGGGTACATTTTACTGTCTTTTTTCGTATAGTTGTCATTATTATCCTCTGAAAACATCAAACTTGTTACGAGTCTTTCATTTGAGCACTTGTCAAATATTTAGGTAAAAGCGTTGGACAAACTCCAAAGCTGCCAAGAGTGTTTTGTGTGCTATGAAAATGAAACAAAACTGCCGCACACGACAGGTTTTTATTGGAAAGTTCGGAATTCAAATCCAATTAAACAATTAATAAAATGCACTAAGACCTAAAAAAACTGCTGCAATTAACCGCTACCGCGATTCACAAAAATGTAACGCCATCTATTAAATAAAATACAAAGTTATACATTAATAACTACTCTCTCTAACTTATTATTTGGTCAAACGTTAATTCAGCGTCAAGTAACATATTTAAACTTCTTAGTAGAAAATCCGAACCTACATCGACCTTCACCGACTGATAATAGAATGAAACATATTTTATGACGACTTTAGTATACCTATTACAAAATATATCAAAAATTATTTGCCTAAAAAATCCTGGACAGACTATTTTTAAATAATTTACAAAAAAAATATTAAAAAAAATATGTTGCTTCTTCAAGATAATAAGAAAAAGTTGTCCTGACATAAAGTATAAAACGTTTAGAATTTGCAGCCGTTGGGTAACGTAACTGGCATGGCATAGACATACTCGTACCTGTTTAATGTTTATACCTGGCAACCCAGTAGTTCACCCAGGTAAATAGACAACATAAGGGCTGCGCGTTTAATACGTTTTATACTGTTTTAAGGACAACGTTTTCTTATTATCTTGATTTTGCAACATATAATTAACTTTTTTTAAGCTATTGTATAGCTTTTATCGCGGGCTTTGAGCGCGGCGACCGAATCAAGAAATTCCGTAACGAAAAACACCTTACGAGAGTGCCAATAGAACACAATTTTCGCTATTCTAGTATCGATCTAAATGGCGCAGTGTGTTAATTTCTTTTTAATTCATTATAAATAGTCTGTCCAGGATTTTTTTAGATAA